ATAATAATCAAATGCCTCGTAGTTTATGGATTCATCCAGGATGTTTTAGGAACAAAAAGCTTTTTAACATCTGATTTTCTATAAATATCTCAGATCTTTTCTCGCCTCTATTGTTGACTGTAACTTAGTTTAGACAATATGTAATAATGTGTGGCTGCATTTAATAACTTAAGTTTTGTGATATTTCAGGACAAATGTTCTTCATCCAGTCTTCATCTCTGATTAAAATGAATTAGTACATTTTAATATGTAATTCAAGTTTCCAGATGTATTTATTTTTGGAGATCATCAGAATATGTTCTTCATTCATGAATTAATTTTGAATTGTCTGTCCGTGAACTCATTTGGGTCATTTTGGTGAAAATGGTTTAGATTTTATTGAAAGTGTTAAATGTCCACATGCTGTTTATTACAATATGAGTTTTAATAATATTACAGGTTGAAATGGCAGGAAACCATTTTCACAATGGAATCACATATAAAACTATTTTATTAATTATGACCAACAATGGATTTTATATGAATTTTATCGTTTGAATTTTGGGTATATAGTGGAAAGACCTTGAAATCATGATTTATTTTTAAAGATAAAAATGTTAGATCTGAAGAAACGGGTTGAACTGAGCAAAGAACTGCCGGCGCCACTTGTTGGGTCGGGCTTGGAACCGTAGAAACCGCCTGCACTTCAGTTTTTAGTTAAACATTTTGTTTGAAATGTTTGGGGGAGTTTACATTTTTCTAATATTCAGTTTTTAAAAGAAGGTTTTTAAAATGATTTTTATGTAAAGTTCTTCCTGTAGGACCGTTGGGTCAGAACCAGAATCCAGTAACTTAAATTATTAACACATTCAATCTGTTTTTGTAAACTTTGACGGTTCTGGTTCCGGTTCTGCTGCTGCCAGAACCTCATGGATCTCCAGAGAAGAACCTTGTTCTATTCCAACAGTAACAGTGAGGTTAGTTTGTACAGGAAGCAGAACCGGAACCAGAACCTCAACGTTGATGATGAATCAGCCCAGAGACTCGGTTTGATAAAAAACTGGATTCCTCTCAGTTTATTGATCTGCCTGCTGAGGAAGAGGAGAAGGAGGAGGAGGAAGGCTCAGAAGTAGTTGACGACTCTGCGGATGGACTGGATGTTGGGGTTCTGGGCCTGCCACTCCGTCGGGCTGCAGTAGTTCCCGCGCTCCACGATGTACATCCGGCCCCGGAAGTTGGGCTCCTCGTACATCACCCAGCTAAGGCAGAGGGAGGAGCAGAGGTTAGACACTCGGAACCGCACAGGACCGGGACCGGACCTTCACAGGAACCGCACAGGACAGGTAGAAACAGAACAGTGCAATGATTCTGGGAGGACACCCGGTCAGAACCTGAGAGGTTCTCTGGGTCAGACCCTTCAGGTTCCAGTTGATCATGTGAATAAAACACAGGAGTACTGCAGGGTTCTGGTTCGGCCCGCTTTTCTTTCCTGTTGATCTGCTTCCGGCCCGTAACATCAGACAGCAGGGAAACGTGATGCTGATCATACTCGGTTATATCCATAATCCCAGTTTGGTAGATTAAAACCTGGATGAATCTAAATTTTATACTTTCAAATTCTGACTAAACAGAATCTGATTTTGGACCAGAACCTCTGAAAAAAACAATGTTTGATCCGACTGACATTGATTTGGCCTCCGGCGATGAAGTTAAGAACCTTGGTGTTTTTGTTGACCTGGATACGTTATTTATGGTTCCAGCAGCAAACTGGGAGGCAGATCCGTCACCAGCTCCTCCCAGTTCACCCAGCCGGTTCTGGACCAGGATTAAAACTTAACTTTCCTGGTTTATTTTATCCTAAATATCTGTAGGTCTGCTGCTACTGGAGGACAAACTAACTGTACTACTGCTACAACTCCCAAATGTTGCATAATTTGCTGTTTTTGCATTATTTAATTAAAATAAATATTCATAATCTCCCTGAATGACAGTCAAGCACATTTCACAGCATTAACAGAAAACGTCACAGTAATGAATAAGATGATAAACCTGATGTTTACACTGAGGAACCCGGTGTGACCATGAACTGGAAACGTTCGTGTTTCTGTTAGCTGAGCGACGGGAGGCGCTGCTCCCCCTGGTGGTGAGATGGGTGGTGGTGCAGAAAGGTGAGACGATGTTCAGACGGTACTGAATGAGCCTAAAGGTGAAGAGGAGGAGCTTGATCCAAGGCGTTGCTGTATGATGGACTGAGGAGGTTCTGAACCAACTGGACCTGATGAAGGGAAGAGGTTCCATAGAAGGTACATCTGGTAGATCCGGTTCCCGTCGGGCCACGTCGCCCCATGGGTCCATCAGACCGAAGGTGAAGCTTCATGCTACTATGCTCTTCTTCTGTTTTGCTAACCTAGCATCTTGTTGATGATGCATGCTCGGCTAGGCTAGCAAAATGAAGGGAAACGGGCGTTGGGTCCCAACAAAACGCCGACATTTAAAGACAAGCAAACCGAATAAGTTCTGTGGAAACAAGCCGGTCCAGGTTCTGGTTCTGTTGGAGGTTTCTTCCTGTTAAACTGGAGTTTTTCCTCTCCACTGTCACTACGTACTTGTCCAGGAGACCTGGCTGATAACTGGGATCTGTGGGACTGACCAGAACTCTGTCGCCTCTCATAGCGGATCTGGACCCTGAAGGACCGAGCTGAGTTGGTACTGGCCTGGTACCGGTTGTGTTCTGATGGTGTGGGTGGTGCAGGACTCACGCTCCGTCTCCGTAGACCCTGACGGAGTTGATGCAGCTCTTGGAGAAGCCGCGGCTCTGCAGGAAGGGACAGTCGTCGCAGATGTCCATGCACTGACCGGAGAAGTTGCAGGCCTCGAACAGCTCGATGCGGTAGTGCTCTCCATGCTGGAAACCGAGAGCAGACAGGTTAGTCTACAGACCTCAGGGACAGTCCTCTGCCCAGAGGGTTTCTGAGGTCGGAGCTCCTCCAGGTGCTCACCATGCGGATGGGCTTGCAGGATCCCATGTGGTCGTTGTGGGAGTTCCACCTCTGGAACTCTGGGTATTCTCCGTGCTCCAGGATGTACTGCTGCCCCCTGAAGTCCGGATGGTCGTAGCAGATCCAGGCTCCGCTCTCCACCCGGATGGAGTTCACTCTGAGCACAGGGAGGAAGGCTTTTATTGTGAAAATCAGGAAGGAAATGAGCTGTAGACTGTAGAACCTTCATCACCTGTTCATGAAGCCGCGGTCCTGGAAGTTATCACAGTCACCTCTGACCTCCAGCTTCCTGCCGGTGAAGCACCGCCCCTCGTAGAAGGTGATCTGCAGGAGGAGACGTCAGCCGTTAGTGAACCTCTCTGTGCTTCTGTCCAGGCAAACCGGGTCAGAACCGGGTTTCAGATGAAAGGATCTGAACCGGATCAGGACCAGAATTCGGTTCTGTTAAAACTCTTTAATTTGTTGTTTCTGCCTGACAAACGGCAGCAATGGCCACGCCCACGCATGATGTCACCCCACCCTTCACTGTTACGTCACATCAGAACACATTATTACCACAGTTGGGTCAGAACTTTCCAGAACTCGGCAGGAAAACACCAAGACAGGGAGAACCACGCCCCATCAAGCTCCGCCCACCTCTAACCGAAGCTTTTAATTGGATGTGCAGCCTGGCCCCGCCCCTTCTTCCTCAGACATGAAGAATAGATTCAGCATCATGGATCAGTCAGAGCTGCAGAGGACAGCACCGCCTGCTGGCAGGGAGCCGCAAACTCACAGCTACAGTCGGCAAACCATGAGGCCCAGTGAGCGGTTCTGGTTGTGGAACCGACCGAAATGTTCTGGTTCTGATCCAGTGAGCTGTTACTTGTGTTGCATGAATTTTCCTGAGGTGTTGATCCCTCTGACCGACCCAGACCCGGATCAGCCGGTACCGGTACCAGTTACTCACCTTTCCAGAGTACTGCGACATGTTTCTGGTCCAACCTGTCCCTCAACCACACACAGTGTAACAGAGAAAAAGTTGGACGGCCCAATTTATACGTCGGGGCTCCGCGCGGCGCCAAAGGGTTCTGCTGAGTCAGCGGTTCCGTTCAGGAGCTGCTGATTCTGCTGCTCACCGACTCAATGGAAACTGCTGGGAGGGGCAGCTTTACTGGTCAATGGGCCGCAGGGGACAGAGGGGACAGAGGGGACAGGACCGAGACACATCAGGAAGACAGACGTTCTGTCTGAAGAATCAACGGATCAGATGATTGATGATGTCACTGAGCTGGAGGTCAAAGGTCAGAAAATCCAAAACAGTTTATTATTCACCAAAAACATCCATCCATCCATCGATTGGGGGACAGTGTCCACTCTGTCTCCAGTCCATTACAGGAAGTGGTTGTCTGCTTCTGGATGGATGGTTTCTCCTGTGGACCCGATCAGAACCTGTGTTCGGGTCAGAGTCCGCTGGGTCAGAACCGGTAGGTTCTGGCTGAAGGCGGAACAGCATCTGGGCCGCTGCTGCCCCCTGCTGGCAAGTCCATCCTCTGTACCCTGAGTCTGGTCCAGAACCAGGTCAGAACTTTATTACTGGACCCTTGTGGTGCTGTACACCAGAACCAGAACCGCTCGGTTCTCTTGGGGAAACGTCCCGTCCAGGCTAGACAATAAAAACCCAGAATCAGTTTTATCCAGGCGGGTCTGGTACCGAACTAATCAGCCAGGACTGATTAGTTTTTCTAGAACTGTTCATATTCTGAACTGTTCATATTCTGAACTGTTCATGCAGTGGGTGACAAACTGAAGCCTCCATGAGGCTGAGAGCATCCCGTCCTCTGACCACTAAAAGTGTTCAAATTAATGACCCAACAAAACTAATAACCTCAGTAATTATTGTTTCAACAAGGTGTTGTTCAGTTCTGAGCGTCTCGGTTCCGCTAAATAAAACCCGAGTCAGACCGACTGACCATCAGAGCAGGAGTTTAAATCGGCCTCCGCTGGGTTCAGGGACCGATTATTAATAATCACTAAATAAACATCAAGCCTGGAACCTGGTATCGTAACGGACTGAATGTTACGATTTTGACCGAAGCTCTGCTCGGCTTGCTGGGCTCAGGCGGTTGCCACGGCAACGGGTGTGTTTAAGCGACAGAGAGTAAAAAGGTCCTGATGGTTCAGAGCTGATCACCTGTTCAGGTTTTTACCTGGTTACCTGTGGAGTATCACAGCTGAACGTTCAATAAACGACTAAATTAATCTAGTGACCTCGTTCCTTTGTGAGTTTACGTCACAACAAACATCAAACAGGACAAATATATTTTATTAAGTAAACAAATGGACTCTACAGCGATAATTATGTGAAGTTAAATGAATTGTCTAATATTTAAAACTAGCTTGCTGCTCTCTGGCATCTCGCTTTGAGCTCAGAGTCCGAGAGGATTTTCCTCCATCAAACATGAGATTTATTTTCATCTCTTATTTAGTGGAAACATCGATGAGACTTTCTCCAAAATGAAAACCTTCATAGTTCTGCTGCTGAAAACGAGGAGCAGCAACATTCACAAAAGACATGGAATCCAGTCCAACATCTGAGGTGATTCTGGTTTTATCCAAACAGAACCAAACTTTATTATCAGAACATCGATCAGAACAAAGCTGATCTCATCCGGGTCAGAGGAGAACCGCAGGTCCAGTCTGGTCCAAAAGTCGGGTGGACCAGAACTCATCGCTTCACCGACACCCTGCGGTCCGGTTCAGTCTGGTTCAGGAGAACCTGAAGACGTGACTCAACCATGAAGATAAAATTGGAACCAGAATCACCTGGGTTCTGGTTTCCAGGTGAGCTGAGGCTCCGCCCACACGTCTGTTTAACGCCTGTCCTGTAGTTCCTCCTTTCTGCTGGGAGGTGGCGCTCTGAGAAACCAGTAGGTCTGGTGACGAGTCTGACTGAAGCTTCCGTTATATAGATATGAACTAAAATTAAAAACACAAAATCTGCAGATAATATTTAAATTCTGACTGTTTTCCTCGTCCTGCTCTTTGGTTCTTTTCTGCTGATTGTTCCCATGAAACCAGACTTCATGTAAAAATCTGTGAATTTAAGCTCCGAGTCCAGCAGCTGCAGCTCAAAGCGACGCTCAACCGTCCGAGTTCAGGAGAGCTGACTGTCGGATAAATCTGCTCCGATCTGAGAGGAGGAACCAGATCTGCTGTGGTTCTGGAAGGAGCAGAGTCCAGTGGACCTCACGGGTCAACAGAAGCTCCTGGGATCAGGGGGCGGAGACCACTGCTGGGGCTGGCCGCCCTCCATCTGCTCCACTTCCAGGACCAACCTCCGGAACACCTCCACCACCGTCTGAGGAGCAGCACACCATCAGGAGGTTCTGGTGGTTCTACTGGTTCTGCTCAGACAGTAGAACCTCAGCCTCACCAGGTTATGTTTGGCTGAAGACTCCAGGAAGGCGGCGCTCCACGACTCGGCCAGAGCTTTGCCCTCCTCGTAGCTGATGACCTTGCAGAACCAGAACCAGAATAGGTTCTGTTAGATGAACAGGAAGTTGAGAAACAGAAACCGTTGGAGTCATGGTCCTCCTGCTGGTGGACTTCCTCCAGGTTCTATTCCAGACCACATCCTTAAACTGGGCCCAAACAGAACCACAGCCCAGAACCCTGAGGTCCTTCTTGTTCCACCAGGATGATGGGTTTCCTGCAGAAACACACCAGAGAGTCCAGTCAGACCCGGTTCCTCCGGCCCGGTGGATCAGAACCGTTTGGGTTTACGTACTGGACGTTCCCCACTTCTCGTGGATCACCTGAACCACCTCGAAGCTGCACAGACACAACAGAACCGTTAGGGTGGAACCGGTACCAGATATTCTGGTGGCTCCGTACCTGCTAGGAGGACATCTGGTACCAGAACCAGTAGCAGCTGCATCAGAACCGGGATCCAACATCAACAGCAGGTCCTACCTTTTGTAGGACGTCACCGAGTAGATGGGGGCGTAGCCGTTGACGTCGGTGGTGCAGCTCTGAGGGACACACCAGCATCCGCTCAGCAGGAGGTCAAAGGTCAGAGGAGAAATCACCCAGAGAAGCTCTCACCTGTCCAGCCGTGTCCACCAGCTGAAGGTTGTACTGCTGACCGTTCACCTCCATGGTCTTAGTGAAAGCTGGAAGAGACAGAAAACCTTCAGAGATCCGCTGGCGGTTCTGGTTCTGGTCCAGAGAAGGACTTACTGTTCTCTATGGTGGGACTGTAGGAATCTACAAACTGGATGGTGAGAGAAGATTTCCCTGCAGACAGAGACAGATGGGAGGTTCTGGATGGGCTTTGGGCCTGTTCTGGACCGGCTCTGGACTGGTTTTGTCTGTTTTGGACCACTTCTGAACCACTCTGCTCTCAGCCGCAGCATCAGGACCACACCTGATTGGCTGCCAGCAGAGACAAAGTTCTGGGTCAGACTGGTTCTGGTACTACACCATAAACTGTAAAAGAGCCCATCTTTGGTTCCGGGCGGCTTCATCTGGACCTCAGACAGGACAGATATTTATCCTACCTGAACCTGGAGACTGATTCTAACGCCCTGGTTCTGCCCGGTTCGGGTGGTTCTGGACTTGCCCACCGACCTGTAGCCCAGCACAGCGATCTTCCGGGATTTTGACGGCGGCATGGTCTCATCTGGACATGCAGTTGGACTTTTCGGAACCTCAGAACCTCTGCATCGTCTTTCTGCTGGAGCAGCCTGGACCCACCGCATAATTAATGAGACCGCGACAGCCATTGGTCGGTCGGAACCAAGAGGGCGGGCTTTAAGCAGCATCCTGCGTTTTGTTTGGTGCTGAGGGAACGCCCTCTGACCATTGGACAAACCGGAGTTTGCTACGCTTCCTTTAACCAATAGCAGCGCAGAACGCGGTGGCGTGGGCGGGATCTCTTCATTAGCCGCTGCTAGCTTCTGTAGGGCTAGCTCTCTCCTCCGTTTCTCTGCCTGTCCTCTCGAACTTTGGACCGGAACCCGGATTTAGATGGCCGCTGCCGCCCTGAAGAGCTGCTCTGCGTGGCGCTTTGCTAAGCTAAACAGGTAATGATGACCATGTCTGTCAAGTCAGTTATCGCGATGTTTGAACTTTAACCGGAATGATTCAAGAGTCAGAGTTAAATTAACCAGAACCAGAACCAAGTCTGAGAGCTGAAGGTGGATTAAAATGATTTGCCTCATAGATTAGTTACAGTCACAGTTTATGACCTGAAACTTTACAGGAAGACCAGTGACCTTTGCCCCAGATAGTAAACCCTAAAAAAACCCGACAGTCTGGATTCAGTTCTTCAACATGGGGGTCGCGGCCCTAAGGCAGAACGCAGTGGTATTACAGGCAGGGCGTGAAAAGTAATCTTTGATTAGACAAACATTAATCAAACTATATATATATATATATCAGTGACGTGCGGTCAGGGGAGGCAGGTGAGGCAGAGCCTAACCTTTCATCATGGAAAAATAATAAATAATAAAATCATTTATATTGCTATTTTCACCCTGTGGTTTGTACTACAAAGTATCTATTTTTTACTTAGCTTAACCAATTCTGATTATTTTTATCTTCAAAATTGCTACATTTTTGCATTTTCCCATTCAAATGCTCAGAAGCGAAGCAGGTGAGGCAGCAGGAAGCTGAGCCTCACCTGGACTGATCAACCTCTCTAACTGCACTGGCTGCCATTCTATGGGGGCAGGTTCTCCTGTCTGTACGCCGGCAATGAAATGGCTAAAAAACATTTAATATATGGACTGATTTTCCATAATTTACCTTATGTATATAATGTACAGTGTTTTATTGTCACCAACTGTGTGTGTATCGTGTTTTGTGTGCGGAGGAGCGATCAGAAACGGCAGAAAACAGACTCCAGGGGAGGCAGGCAGTTCTCTTGCCTCATGGCAGGGGGCGCTCATGATCCCAGATATTGTGACTCCACAACTGCAGAGTAAGACACAGTGAGCTAGCCATGGAGCTAGCATGGAGCTAGCCATACAGTAAATAAGTAAAGTACAGTGATATATTTGTTTTCTCCTCTCTTCCAACATGAAAGACTACATTTCTACAGTTAAACAGTTTTCTAAAGTGGATTTTCAATTGAAGCAGGAGATAGAGCTTCGGAGCGTGACGTCACTGCTCTAGTCGGAGGGGTGTCAGCGCCATCTTTGTTGCCACCTACAAAAACGACTCTCTCACAGATATTTTAGCTAAGGTACAAACTTGCTGCATTATCGAGTGTAATGTCCGATCACACGACCGAAAAGGTAAAAAGATGGAAAATGGACTTTCGTTTCACTATTTTCCTGCTTGGAAACAACGCGAGGAGGCTAAGCTATCGGAGCTAACGAGAAGAAAATAAATGAGAAAATGAGACGTCCTGATGTTACCTTCTCCAAAATCCCCAGATACCTACAAGTTTGCTCCAGACATTTCCATTCTGGTGAGTGTCTAAATTCGCTTTGTTGGTGTTGTGTCCTAATTTATTTTGCTATGATTTTGTCCGGGTGTACTCCTGATCAGTTTCTGTTGAGTTCATTTAAGTGGGTCAACCTTGTTTAGGTCGGGCTAATATTGTTTATGTAGCATAGTCCGAGTTTTGTCAGTGGACATCGAGGCTCTTACATTATTGTGAAGTAAACTATTTTACTAGTGTTATCAGATTTACAGCTTTAATACTGATGTGTGTTCTGATTTGTCCTCTTGAAGGCAAACCGACGTGTGAAATGGATGAGATCAGTCCTGACTGGGTTCCACTGCTGAATATGGGTCAGTGAGGTAAACGCCACAACAACATGCGCGTCAATTAAAGAGGCGATACAGCAAAACCATCAACGGGTTACAGAGACTGTTTTCATTATTTACCCCAGAAGAGGTAAATGATGAAAACAGTTCCAGAGGCTGGAGAGGAGGAAACGCCAGGAGAGGAGCTCAGCACCTAGAGCTCCATAAAGTGTCTAAACCATTTGTGATGAAATATGTGTACAGTGGGAAGTGGCTGTTTTTGTCTCATTTAATAATTTCATGTGGTAAACATTCATGTAACGTTTGATTCAAGCTCTTCACTTAAACAGGTGAAGAAATGAATCACATTTAAAGTAAAAATGTGATTTTATTAAAGATATATATTCATGTATGTATATATCTTCCTTTAGTAATACTAGTTAGGTTTTTTTCTTTGCTTAGATCAGTGTTTCTCCACCCTGGTCCTCAGCCCCCCTGCTCTGCATGTTTTAGATGAGCCTCTATTCCAGAACAACTGATTCAAATGATTGCAGGACCATCAAGTACTGCAGAAGCCTGTTAATCACCCAGAGATACAATGCAAGTGTGTGGCAGAAGGGAAACACCTAAAACATGGAGGACAGGGGCCTGAGGACCAGGATGAGAAACGCTGGTTTAGATCTTCACGTTACCTTTGTTATCCCTTGTCTCCTGTTTCATTGTGTTTTGGATTTCCTTGTTTTCCCTGGACTTTGGATTTAGTTAGTTAGTTTAGTTCATTAAAAATAACATCCACATAAAGTACGTCCACCGCCACATCATGACGCAAACCAGATGAAAAAGCCCAACTTTGAACATTTAATGTGTAATTAAACAATAAAGGTGACAAGTAAATTTTATGAAACAGATCACACTTTAATAAATATTTGTTGTATTTAACATATTTCAGGTAAGTGAACATGTAATGAAATAGATCCAGTCCTAGAATTTTATGTAATTGAACATTACAGGTTACAAATGTTCTTTTCATCTGAGGTAATATATTTTATGAACTTTTAAAAAAATATTTTTTAAATATAAATTTGGTTAAAAAATAAAAAGGGGTCAA